CTGGCTATGGTAGACACCATCTTCATCTCCTTGCTAGGCGCTGCATCAGGAAGGCCCCAGTGGGGGTAGTGCCGCATCAAGGAAACTCGGGACAGAGTCAGGCATGGTGGCTCAGTGATCAGCGACATAGCTGCATGGTGATGACCTTGAAGTAGGGCAGCGGCATAGCTGCTTTGTGTTGTCCTTTGGACAGGAGGCTGAAGCCTCAGTAATCCACCATAGCCTCGGCTTGTATGTAGAGGAAGAAGAAAGGTGACCATGGCTATGGTGGACCTCATGTTGTGCCTGCAGTAGAAGTGGGATTCGGACATTGATTCTGGTTCAGTCATTCAACATTATTATTGTTATTTATTGTTTGAATAAGAGGGAGGAGATAAGGAGGAAGGGATTGGTTGGCGAAGAAGAAGAGCCTTGACATTGGTCTATGCTGGAGTACATCATCATCTTCTTCTTTCTCACTTCTTCTTCTTCTTCTTTCCCTCTCTTTCCTCTCAAGTTCATTCATTTCTTTTTGCAATTGGATGGCATTGTACTTTCAAATGAATGTATACTTCGAAATTGGCCAGGATCGTAACAGGCTAAAAAACGACAAAAGAGTTTGCGTCACTAAAGGGCATCTGTCGCGCGAGGCCAGCCGAAAGTAACCAAGCCCGAAAAAGGGCCTACATACATTTTAAGAAGATTGAAGTAGGCCAAGGACCAAGCTATCGAACTGAGATATCATTCCGAAGCACGGCGAAAGACCACTGCATGTGGTACTCAGTAGGTTGTTGTATACAACATCCGAGTTAGTATTCCAGATCAATCAAATTGTCACATCTGGACCGTGATCAAAACTGGATCCACTGAGATCGTTGTGCATGCTTCAGTTCATCTGGCTCGCCTCCGGAGCATATGTGTACGTGTCACGTCTGTCGTGTTCTCACTCTGTTTTGTTGCAGCCTGAGGGATTCAGGCCAGCGGACCAGATGTGTACGCGCCTCACCTGTCATGCCCTTCTTACTGCTCTTAGCAATCTGCGAGAAACTTGCTCAGTTCGGGCCTGAGGGTTCTCTCCTGCCATGCCCTTCCCATTGCTCATAGCAGTCTGCAAGAAGCTTGCTCAGTTCGGGCCAGACCCGCCCTCCCACCCTGTTGGCCATCCTTGTCACTGTTTTGGAAATGAAGGGTGTTGGAAAATCCGCTCCTCTCAATTCTCTATATAGCCTAGTTAGTATAAATGGAAGGATAGCATCGTTGTTGGTGTTACTTCGAATTCGATGCAGGGTACATGTGATGGTGGCAAATTTCTGTTCGATGGGGGCAAAGGATTTAAAGTTTCGGGTAATCATATACCTTGGTTGCTTAGTGTTGACCCATATGCTCTCCGCATTTTTAAACTTGTGCATCATAAAGATCTCGGTTGGTTTGTTTATAATCGAGATTTTTGTCTCGAGGAATTCCAAAATATTTAAATCGAGATCAGTTATTTCTAGTTTTAAATCTTTATGGTAGCAATTTTTTATTCCATTCAGTAGTTTTTTCGCTCTGCTTTTTTCGGCTGGTTTGAAGAGTCCGAGCAAGAGCAGGTCGTCAACATACCTCTTCCCGTGAATAAATATCTCATTCTTGTCGAGGCTTTTATGAAATTTATGCTCAGAAAACATGCAGACCAGATTCCCCAAAGGTGGTGAAGCTTGTTCACCCCTGGGTACTCCTTTGTTTTGCTTTAGTACGGTGCCAACAGATTTGAAAACGACGTTCTTCAAGATAAAATTCACCAGTTTATCAATGTCGTTCAGCCTGATTGATTTCCATTCTTTTTCCTGGGTCGATTTGCAGAATGCGGCACCCTTACCTCTCGTCTTGTATCTGATCCAGTGTTTCCCTTTGTTCTTAAATTCTCCAATGATCCAACGTACCACATGTCGAACTTCGTTCGGGATTCGTGAAAACATTTCTTTTATGTCAAATGTTTGTGCAATCACTTGCAATTCATCTCGTTCAATTTTTCTGTTGATGTTGTTTAAGTCCTCTTTAAGTTTCTTTCCAGAGGAAAGGTTACAGTTCTTTCCTTTGAAATTTTGGATTAAACAATTCAGACATTGTACAACGATCCGTCCCACAAATCTCAGAGGGTTAGCAAACGAGGGACAAATTGGTTTCTGATTCTCGATGTCTTTGTCTTTGCTCATGTTGAATGCGTTCTGGATTAATCCTTTGTTATCCAACTTTGCAATCTTGTGCAGTTTCTCTTTCTCATATTCATTTTTCATTTCTGTCAGGATCGTATGATCCGTTTTGTTGATGTGTTCGAAATCAGGAATATCATTAAAGGTGTGTACCATACCATTGTAGTACAAAACAGGGCACTCTATCAGTGTTGCTCCTGGATTCCGATCTAGGGGCGACATGACGAGCCCTTCAAAGATTTTCTTCCCGCCAAGAACATATTTAGTGAGAACGGTACCAACTGGTATAGATGGTCCAGTTCTACCGATCTTGGTGGGTGATATCCTGAGTTCTTCATTAATCCCGATCTTTCTCAGCACCGATAGAGTGTCTGCTAGAGTTGTTGATTACATCAATACTAGCTAACGTGCCAGGATATGGCATGTTCTTCGGATTGTACAAGAAGGCCGAAACTTTCGGAATTCCATTCATCCTGACCCGGACACGCCCGTTGACTTTGGTCAAGTCGAACTGGTGACAACAGCATTCAGGTTGTGGGTGTAATGCTGCACGATGGTGATTATGAAGAATGCATGCGATAGATTTGGCTTTGGTCTAAACCGTTCGCAGCTTCAATTCCATCAGGCAGGAGAGTTCTGGAGGCTTAACTCGCTTCTTGATCCAATCACATACTTCGACACACACACACTTTTTGTTGATGGAATGACAAAATGGAATTTTTACAACAATTCTTTCCGTGGGGTTAAATCCGAGTCTCTTTTTCAACTCATTAGTGACCAGACTACGAATAATTTGTCGCCCTCTTTGCACGTTTATTGTCTTACAACCTTTTAGCATAGAGATGAGATCAACAACATCTTTGCATCCAAGTGTGTTTCGCTTGGTCCAAGGGGCCCACAATAATGAGATGATTTCAAATTTCCTTCTTTCTGCTTTGGATTCAGTTCTTACCAGGGTAGCGATCAGACTACGAATAATTTGTCGCCCTCTTTGCACGTTTATTGTTTTAAAACCTTTTAGCATAGAGATTAGATCAACAACAACTTTGCATCCAAGTGTCTTTCGCTTGGTCCAAGGGGCCCACAATAATGAGATAATTTCAAATTTCCTTCTTTCTGCTTTGGATTCAGTTCTTACTAGGCAAGTTACTTCCCACGTTCCACCCCATTGAAATGATAATTTCAAATCCCTTAGAAGGGCGTTTCTCATCGTCGATGAGTTTGCTCTCCACTCGTCTTAACTCACTTTTATTCTCAAACATAATGGAACGATGGTATGCGTCGAGGGTTTCTCTTGTGCAACCATTTGTGCAGTTTGAAAACTGAGTTAACCAAAGAACACCACTTGTGTTCACGCCACCTATCCTTAAGTTCCCTGCCAGTCTGTCCAATATACGTTAGATTGCAAAATGGGGAAATTAGTAGATAGACACAAGAGTTAGCACTATTATTTAATAACTCGCTAGGATGGAGATTCCTCCAATACTTGACATATGTATGTCCCCAGCTAATGAACCCAAACGTGCATGCGAAACTAGTGCCTACTTTGAACAAGTCATCCAGATCGTGTGTCTGTTCCCCTTGGGTGTCGATCTTTGTGAGGCTCAATCTCCTCAGTAGCCTCATTAGGCTACGCTCGGTGACATTCAGTTCCCCGTCACGTCGTCGTCTTCCTTGTCCGAATCGTTATTTCCATCTTCATCTTCATCATCCTTTCCCGGATCCGATTCGAGGGTGTCGTTTCCATTCATAAGCTTCGTGAACTCGTCCATGTCTTGTTTCGCCTGTTCCCAGGCGCTCTTGTCTTTTCTTTCCCACTTCACGTTCCTTTTTAGACATAGGCTCTCAACCTTCTTCCCAACATCTCCATATAGTGGTCCAGCCTCTGCCTCGTGTATTCGACAATCCTGACATCCTTGCCCACGTCGCATGTGGCGTTCCTATTCACCTTCAATTTCTCCTCTTCGTCGCTGTCGGATTCTTCTTCATCCTTGTGTGTTACATTGGTTAGGATCGCGCTCTCCTTCTCCGAATGCTCCTTGGATTCCTCGCCCCCGACTCCTTTGCTCTTCTCTATGAGCGAGTAGCGCCATGATGTCGTCCAGTTTCACACCATCATCATCCCCAACCGCACCTCTGGGTACGTTTGTTTCCCGTTGAATCACGGCATTTTGCGCCTTCTTGCCTTCTTCATCATTATGGAAGGACACTAGAATCCGTGGTTGCCTGATCTTCACTCCTCCGCTCTTTGATCGTGATTTCGGCTTATGGAGTTCGGCAGTAGGTGAGTTCGCTCCCATCACTCCTTTCCTCTTCTCACTACTACTCCCTTCCCCTTTCTTAGCTCCGCATTCGTGTTCCGCAATCTTCTTCACACGCTTCTCTCTCTGCTCGTCCACGTCCTTGGTCTTCTTATTGACGACTTCCAATTTCTCAGCAATCCTTTTCAATGATACACCGAAATTACTTGCCATCCAAGCCTTGAGATTCTGCTCGTTGTCTCCGGAGCTAGAACTTGATCTCCCTTGGGACGTCTTAACTGCGCCGCTCCTGCTGCTCTCTCCAGTGTCTTCGGTCTTCTTCTTCGCGGATTCTTCAAGATCTCTCGTCTTCCATTTTTCAATCAACTCGAGGTGTTCCCATGTAAACCAAGCGCGGTTCCCTGGTCCAGGAAGGAGTTACCTGAAGGTGGTCGGTTCGGTTCGTGTTGCTGGCCGTAACCCCACGGATACGGTGATGGAGGAGGTGGGGGGGGCGCCCATCCGCAGTACGGTGGGAATCCGGGTGGCGGATGAGGTTGAAGTCCTGGTATAGTCGTGATAGGGGAAGGATTATGAGGTTGACCCACAGATGAGGGCGCGGTATTCTGATAATCCATCCAGTATCTGCGACATCTGCACCAGCGTCCTTTCCCCAGGCCCCTACCCCTAGCGTGCATGCAGTCAGATCATGCAGCAGGCGCCGTGACGTATATGCCTTCAGCTTCCAGAAGACGAAGAGTGGCGAAGCCCTCCTGGTGGTATGGCGTCACGCGTCTCGATCTGTACAATAGGAAGAGCATGCTAATAAGCACCTATCGCGTCGATCGCAAGCACGATTGGACGTGAAGCAGCTATGGCACTAAGTAAGCGTGCCCACGTGTAATTGCAAGGTTGTTCACTTGGCTAATACGACAGTTGAAACTCAAAATACAATGTAGTCTGAGGTTTAATATCGCAGCAGAACCACATTGTAGTTGCACACACCGTGCAACATACCTTCTCCTCACTGCTCAGTCTGTACGGAGCAAGGGTCCACTCCATCAAATTTATACTACTACTTACTATTTATCTAGTCCATTTATTCCTTCAAAAGGTTGCCTCACTTGCAAACGTTTTTTCACGGACTCCGCTGTTGAGCGGCTAAAAAATGACAAAAGAGTTCTCGTCACTGCATCCAAAACAAAAAACAAACCAAACACCAACGAAAAAGATATGTACGGCTTCGTGCGGAGATACCAAAAGGGCATCTGTCGCACGAGGCCAACCGAAAGTATCCAAGCCCGAAAAAGGGCCTACATACATTGTAAGAAGATTGAAGTAGGCCTAGGGCTGAGCTATCGAACTGAGATATCATTCCGAAGCGCGGCGAAAGACCACTGCAGTGTGGTACTCATCAGGTTGTCGCATACAAGATCTGAGTTAGTATTCCAGATCAATCAAATCGTCACATCTGGACCGTGATCAAAACTGGATCCACTGAGATCGTTGTGCATGCTTCAGTTCATCTAGCTCGCATCCGGAGCATATGCGTACGTGTCGCGTCTGTCGTGTTCTCCCTCTATTTTGTTGCAGCCTGAGGGATTCAGGCCAGCGGACCAGATGTGTACGCGCCTCACCTGTCGTGCCCTTCCTACTGCTCTTAGCAATCTGCGAGAAGCTTGCTCAGTTCGGGCCTGAGGGTTCTCTCCTGCCATGCCCTTCCCACCGCTTACAGTAGTCTGCGAGAAGCTTGCTCAGGTTGGGCCAGACCCGCCCTCCCACCCTGTTGGGCATCCTTGTCACTGCTTTTGAAATGAGGGGTGTTGGAAAATCCGCTCCTCACAATTCTCTATATAGCGTAGTTAGTATAAATGGAAGGATAGCATCGTTGTTGGTGTTATTTCGAATTCGATGCAGGGTACGTGTGATGATGGCGAATTTCTGTTCAATGGGGCCAAAGGATCTAAAGTTCCGGGTAATCATATACCTTGGTTGCTCAGGGCTGACCTAAATGCTCTCCGCATTTTTTAACTTGTGCATCACAAAGATCTCGGGTGGTTTTTTTGCTTTGCTTTTTCCGCTTTGCTTTTTTCGTCTGGTTTGAAGAGTCCGAGCAAGAGCAGGTCGTCAACATACCTCTTCCCGTGAATAAATCTCTCATCCTTGTCGAGGCTTTTAAGAAATTTATTCTCAGAAAACATGCAGACCAGATTCGACAAAGGTGGTGAAGCTTGTCCACCTATGGGTTCTCCTTTGTTTTGCTTTAGTACGGTGCCAACAGATTTGAAAACGATGTTCTTCAAGATAAAATTCACCAGTTTATCAATGTCGTTCAGCTTGATTGATTTCCATCCTTTTTCCTGGATCGATTTGCAGAATGTGGCACCCTTACCTCTCGTCTTGTATCTGATCCAGTGTTTCCCTTTGTTCTTAAATTCTCCAATGATCCAATGTACCGCATCTGGAACTTCTTCATGAGGGATTTGTGAAAACATTTCTTTTATGTCAAATGTTTGTGCAATCACTTGCAATTCATCTCGTTCAATTCTTCTTTGATGTTGTTTAAGTCCTCTTTCAGTTCCTTTCCAGAGGAAAGGTTAAAGTTCTTTCCTTTGAAATTTCAGATAAAAAATTCAGACATTGTACAACGATCCATCCCGCAAATCTCAGAGGGCTAGCAAACGAGGGATGTCGGACAAGATTCAAGCCATGCAGGAGTGGCCAGAACCGTGGAGTGTCACAAATGTCTGTTCGTTCGTTGGCCTGGCCGGCTACTAGCAACGTTTCATCAAGGGATACTCGAAGATCGCAACCCATTTGACCAAGCTTCAATGCGAAGACGGGTTGTTTGGCTTCGGTGAGGATGCGCAGGATTTATTTTTGGCTCTCAAAGATGCGTTATTATCCGTGGAGGTCTTGCACATTTACAACCGGCTATTGCCAACGAGTGTCACTACGGATGCGTCCGGCTATGGCATTCGTGCAGTCCTCGAACAACATGATGGTGCAGACTGGCACCCGATCGAGTACTTCAGCAAGAAAGTGCCCGTTGTACACTCAATTGATGGTGCACGCAAGAAGGAGCTCCTAGCCGTCGTCCACTCGCTGAAGCGGTGGCGACACTTCCTCCTTGGTCGGAGCCAATTCCGATTGGTAACGGACAACAATCCGTTGGTCTTCTACAAGACTCAAGACACCGTCAACAACACCATCGCCCGATGGATGGCTTTTATTGACGAGTTCGACTTCTTTCCCAATCACATTTTGGGGAAGTCGAACCGTTTTGCGCAAGACTCAAGACACCGTCAACGACACCATCGCCCGATGGATGGCTTTTATCGACGAGTTCAACTTCTTTCCCGATTACATTTTGGGGAAGTCGAACCGTTTTGCGGATGCTCTTTCACGGCGTCTGGATTATTATACCGCAATCTATTCGACCTTCGAGATCGGCGACAACCTGCGGGACAGCTTCATCCGCAGCTACAAAGCGGACCCCGAGTTTCGCGACAAGTATGTGAATTGCTCCTCACCTAATCCGGGGCCTTCGCATTACCGGACCCAAGAGGGGTACTTGCTTGTCCACACGCGTGGTAAGGACCTTCTTTGTGTGTCGAGTGACTTTGACTTGCGTACGTGGCTTCTTGGCGAGTTCCAAGACGCTCCCGCCACCGGACATTTTGGAGTCAATCTCACGATTGGCCGACTCCGCGAGCGCTTTTGGTGGTCCGGTCTTCTCGACGACGTCGCACGCTATTGCGAGTCATGCGAGGTTTACCGACGTTGCAAATCTCGCAATTACCGTCCGTACGGCGAGTTGCGACCATTACCAGTCCCCTTGCGCCGAAGGGAAGCGATTGCCATGGACATCGTTGGGCCGTTCCCCAAGCACAAGACTGGCGTGGATGGGATTCTCACGGTGGTCGACCGACTCACGAAGTTTGCCATGTTCTTGCCTTGTCGTTATCATGCCACGGCACTGGAGTTGGCCGAAGTTCTTTACGTCGGTTGGATTCAAACCAAGGGTTACCCGAAGGAAATCGTCTGCGACCGCTACACTCAACTCATGCCCGATTTTTGGTTGGCGCTCATCAAACGATGGGGCTCATCTCTCAAGTCGAGTTCGGCTCGCCATGTTACGGACTGCGCCAAAGCTCGATCCCTAGTTTACCTTTTTGCTGTTTCGGCTGCATCCCGTTTTCGGCCTGGCACCCTTTTTCCAATCCTCTCCTTTGGTTCCGTAGGATTTTGGACAACTGGCGCCATGCTGCAATTCGGGCGCCATTTTCAAATACCGCATTTTTCAGTTTTGCCCTTGGGGCCTTTGCAGAAATGCCCCCGGTACCGTATGTGTCACCGGTACTTATACCGGTTCCTCGTACGGTACGGGAACCTGTCTCGTACCAGCTTCCAGCTGCTGTTCTCGTACTCCATGTGACTTGCTGTTTCGGCATTCGGGAATCCAAGACTTCGACTTTGTGCCCTTGCCACTGTGTCTGCGTCCAACCCTCAGTCGTGTCGAGTGAGTGAGTGTGTGTGCACACTCTCCCTCTCTCCCTCTCTCTCCTCTCCCTCGGCTCTCCCTCAGCCTCGCACGCGTTACACTGGTATCGGAGCAGTTCGAACCCGCCCGACCCACCCTGCTTCGTCGTCACCACGTGGCCGTCATCAGCATCATCGTCGTGATCGTCGTTGTAGTGCCACGTCATCGTCGTGATCATCGCCATCGTGCCACATCATCATCTCCATCGTTGCAATCGTCGTCGTCGTCGTCCCACGTCATCATCGTCACTGTTGCGATCGTCGTCCTCGTCACCACGCCGTGCCATCCTTGTCATCTTCGTTGCTACCTTCGAGCAGATAAGTAATGGACGACAATTTTTTTTTATTTTTTTTTTCTTGTTTTTCTTCTTCTTTCTCTTCATTCTTTTCTTCTTCTTCTTCTTCTTCATCTTCTTCTTCTTCTTCTTCTTCTTCTTCTTCTCCTTATCTTCCTTGCCTTCTTTCCTTTTCCCCTCGACGATCTTTCCCCGTCCCCTTCTCGCCCCGCTATTCGCTAGTCCCCCCCCGTGTGTTTCCCCTTCCCCGCGTGATTCTTCCTCCCCCCTCCACGCAATCCCGACTTTACCCCCCGCGCTATCTTCCCGCGCGATCCCAACTCCCGTCACCCTTCCCCCTCCCGACCCCCGACGATCTCCCCCCCCATGGACCCCAATCTCCAGCTCCCATTCCCCATCCCGACTCCGCAACCCCCCTCGTCGCTACTCCCCCCCCGATCTCATTCCCCCACCCCTCCACCCGCGCGCC